CTCTCTGTCGTAGGCCGTAGAGTACAACATCTTCGAGGGCATGGAGTGCCGCGGCTCCCCGCTGGTAGTCATCAGCCAGGGCAAGATCGTCTTCCAGGACGGTAGCCTGAGCGTGAGCAAGGGCCTGGGCCGCTTCATCCCCCGGAAGCCTTTCCCTGAACACCTGTACCAACGCGTCAAGATCAGGAGCAAGGTGAGCAGGCGGGGCGCAGCCAGGAGCACAGGCCTCGCCTAGTGCATGGGCATCCAGGGGGCCAGGCCCCGGACAGCCGTGGAGGGGGACACTTGACGGCCCTGGACAGCCCTGGAGGGGGCACATGAGGGGCCAGGCTCAGGACAGCCCTGGAGGGGGCACGCGAGGGCCCAGGTGCTCTGGCCCATGGCTGCGTTCCCCTGCCCAGCCACGGGTCTGGTGTGGCCTCACACTCATAACAGCACTGCAGCCGCAGGGACCTCGCCCTCAAACAAGGGCCGCGCCTGGGCTCTCAGACTCGTGGGTGGGTAGAGACCGTCGTGCTGGGGCCAGGAGGGACGCTGAGGGTCCGAGCCCACCATGGGCCGCTCTTGCCTGTGTCGGCTCCAGGGCTCATCTCCACAGGAAGCCCCCAGGTCACCTCTTGCCCACACGCAGGTGCACGGGCTGCATGGTGTCTCAAGAGGCATGTATGACGGCCCCGTGTACGAGGTGCCGGCCACACCCAAATATGCAACCCCCGCGCCGTCCGCCAAGTGCTCGCCTTCCAAGCACCAGCCCCCACCTATCAGGAACCTGCACCAGTCCAACTTCAGCCTGTCAGGTGAGACGGCGCAGGGCCCCCGGGGGCGGACCGTGTGCTCACCCTCAGCCCCTGGGTGCACGTGATGGGCAGACACGTATGGCACTACAGCAGTGGCTCCATCCCACCCACACAACAGCCCTTGTTCAAGGCTCAGGGCCTCCTTTACTTTCTCAGACTTTAATTTCGAAGCAGCTGTAAGTTTGCAGAGACATCACTGGGGAAGCGCGGTAGTCCCGCCTGACACCCCCCCCTAGCACTTCTCATTCCCACGGTACCTTCGTCATGGATGACACCACACATACACACACACAGCTAGCTCATGCCGTCATGTGCACCAAGTCCACCTCTCATGCCACAGTCACTTGGCCACTCAGCCCACACTGCACAAGGATTCCTGTGAGCAGTGGTTAGCCCCGTCCTTCCGCCTCGCTGCCGGACTGCCACATGGGAGGGCTGGGGGTGGTCCTTGTCTGGCAGATTGTGTGGATAGGCCACGGGGTCTGTCGATCTGTACAGAGACCAGGACACCCCTGATCACAGGCCACGTGGGTGAGATGGAGGGTCTGACACTCATAGCTGTGAGGGCAGCCACATGAACATGTGCAGACATGGATGCAGACAGGGGTGGACTTCCTCCACCAGCCTCGGTTCACTGGCCCCTGGTCTCACTGGAGGACAGTTTGAAACGGAGATAGTGATGATGCCCGTAACCAAGCCAGGGCTGAGGGGGCATCTGTTTAACTAGTGGCACAGCTGTACCCCTGCTTGGTCTCATGCCTCAGTGGGGCACAAGCTGGGCCCCCCCAGAAAACCCCTTGCTCCCACTGCCCAGTCCCCCCACTGACCACTCTTTCCATTCCCACTGCTAAATTCTCCCACTGTCTGCCTCGCTCCCACTGCGCAGTCCCCCACTGACCCCTTGCTGCCACTGCCCAGTCCCCCACTCACCCCTCGCTCCCACTGCCCAGTCCACCCACTGACCCCTCGTTCTCGCTGCCCAGTCCCCCCATTGACCCCCCGCTGACCTCTCACTCCTGCTGCCTAGTCTGCCCACTGACCCCTCACTCCTGCTGCCCAGTCCCCCCACTGACCCCTCGCTCCTGCTGCCCAGTGCCCACATGTGCCCCTCATTCCTACTGCTCCATGCCCTCCCAGCGTCCCAAGCCTCTGGGTTCTGAACGTTTGCACAGCCGCCCACCTTGGGCAGACAGACCCGCCACCACTTGGCACTCGGCCTGAGCGTCGACTGCACGCACGGAGGAGCTGGGGAGGCGGACTTTTAAGTCGTTGTGCAACAGCAAGGGGAAAAAGCAAGCGATTAGTGGAGAGCAAACGTTTTGAGAATGATGAGGCAATGAATATACAAATGCGCTTTACACAATGGATGTATGTATGGATTTTGATAAGAGTTGTATGAGCCCCCAATAAAATGATTAAAAAAGAAAAAGCAAACAATTAGACTGATGGTTGGCAGAACTTCCCTTTGGCAGTGATGCAGTGAGTCCACCTGTCACTGGTACACATGCACATCCACCTGTGCACACACCAAAAAGCATGCAGACGTGAACACCCACACATACTATACATACACCATCGCACATGGGCACACAAATGCAGTTAACACATGTGTGCACATGCAATATATGGATTCACCGCCATGCAAGCACAATCCACACAAGCACAAATCCACACATGTACACACAACATGAAACATGCAGGCATGCGCATACATGCACACCACACACACAAATGCAGTTACCACATGTGTGCAAATGCACTGCATGCACAAACCCACATGGACACATGCATGTGACCACACACCATGCGTGTACCACAACCCATGCACAATACCTACATGCATATGCATGCACACACCTGGCATGCATGCACGTGTGTACAATGAATGCGTGGGTGTGTGCCGCATGCACAGCATGCCTCTGGGGCACCGTGTGGAGTGCTGCAGGCGGGAATGTTCCCACAGTGGCTTTAGGCCAAGCAACAGGGACATTCCAGCTTGGCCTTCAGCCCTGGCCGGCCTTCCCCTTAGCTCTGGTCCCTGTAGCTGCCCAGCCCGAGCCTCAGCCCCTCCCTGAGCCCTGCCCCATAACTGCCTGGGCTGAGCCTCCGTGTTCCCGTCTGTGCGGTTGGGCA